AGGTGTTTCACGTATCTTGGGAGTTGTATCAGTTTCGATCATGGTGTAACAGGTAAATTAAGTGCGTCAATTTGCAAGGCTTGGATTGCGTTTGTTAATTTGGCTTGTTTGAGCAATGGAACTGAGACGTCTTCATGCGTTCGACAATCGTTGTCTCAAGGAGTCATGAGTGACTTAACCATGACTAGACACTTACTATTCAAATATGTGTTTTACTTCCCATGCTTTAGCTGCTACACTAATGAAATAAAAGGCCCATGTCAATTCTTTAAAACACACCCAGTTTTGGTGCTGTTTTTTACTGCCACCGAAGGAGAACGTAACAAGAATTCAAGGATTTAATAAAAGTTTAAATAATCTATGGACGTCTAAATGCGCCAATTTTATCAGAGAGATCAAGAACTTTGCTCAACAATCCTTACTAGCTCTTATTATAAGTGCGATCGCATACGTTCCGTTGAGGAACGTAACGTCGGAAGATGACTCCAGATTATACTGTTTAAACAGAAGTTTAATAGCTATGAAGCTAATGTTAATCTTTTTTGTCAAAAACTGTATGTCTAGACACATTAGCTCAGCTAACTACTCATTATTTCTTTTTCAGGTGACCTAGAAAGAGAACTACTGGTTTCAGTCAATTTAACCTTAATGAAGATGTTTTGATAAAACACACAAGTAACATGGAGGGAAGAAGTGAATCCGAGGTCAGTTTGTCTGTGAATGTGTTGGTAATTAAGTATGAATTTTTGTCTTTTACCGAGGAAATGACATCTTCCTCTGGTGACTTATCTGACATACGTATGCCACTGTACCGATCTGGGTCAGGTAACTAGCTGATTCCGAAAAAACTATGTGTAGTATGTTAAAACGTTTCTCTCCCGCATACGCTTTGATTGCCTAACATATATAGGGACAACAGATACGTAGGCAAAGCAGGATAAGCGCGAAAACCAACACTGTTAAAAGAGGCGGAAGTTTGAATATAAATACCTCAGAATGTCACATTGACAGCCTGTATTAGAGTATCTACAGAGGAAATCCAGTCTATAAAGCAGCAAAAGTTGCTTGATGTTGGCTTGAACTTAGGCGAAGCGCAAACTTACTTCTACAGAGGAGAATAAACTAATTTTTACAGTCATCCCTATCGACAACCCTAGGCTTCACATACATACATCTAATTGGCTTTTAACAGACATGCTACAAGATTTCGACAAATAATATTTTAGATGGTGAGGATTGTGAACAAATAAACAATATCGCAATTTGTGAACTACAACCATTTGCACACCAGTTTTTTTCTGACAAGACTTTCGCTGAATTTTTCGTTGATGCCAGTATTCATCAAGCAGAAAATAAGATTGACAGGAAATCCAAGAATGATTTCACGTGAAGGGACAAAACCGACCGCCGAGACTTCTTGGTCTGCACATGAATTAGTTCGTTAACTGCGTTCATTTCGAGTTCAAGTGAAACATGAGGCTGGCGAAAAATAGAGGACTGCGGCTACCTCATAAAATCGAAAGGGGACAAAACCGGTTGTGGGCTGTTGAGGAGTTTTTATCGGCCTTGTGAGTAATAGGTTTATTCGATGACGAAGTGCCTACAAACTTGGACAGCAATAAAATAGACTTTTCCACAGTGTAATGCCAGACTAAGGCACATCGTTTGCGAGCTTTACTTAATGTATTTATTAAGCATAATTGCAAACATACTTTGGCTAACATGTCTTGCCATGCGCTCTTCCCCCTACCGTGCAGGATGAGCCATGTAGGTTCCATTCAAAAAGATCTAAACTGCTTGTTGCACCCCTGTGACTGCGCCGACTTTTATCTTACCTTTTCTTGTCATGCTCCGTTCCAAAAATGAAAAAAACGGTATCGGTTCAAAATAAAATTGCACACACCAACGGAAAACTTTTGGATCTCCAAGCAAGCAGCTATTGTTTCTACGGGCTGGTCCTCTCTACTTCCCTAAGGATATAAATGGAAGATATTCCAATACACTAGGTACCTAATATATTACCAGTAACAATGGGCATTTTTTCTTATACTCAAAAAACGAATGGCGCAACTTTGTTTGGAGAGAGAGATGACGCTGTTCGTTTGGCATTCGATCAACAGAGCACCATCCCAGAGGATGAATGATGGCGTACTTAATGCCCCGAATATGTGGCCCGTCCTTCTGAGGGATAGGGAGTGATCTTTCAAAAGTGATGCGCATGAAATCCTGGGAGATAAGTACTAGATTTTGAGTAGGTTTCGTTACCTTTCAGGACAGGCTAGCGAAAGTATACGTTTTTTCTTATCGTCATGTACTGGGCAATATGTTGTTTGGCTGAGTTCTTCTCGTGGATAATGGCCTCAACAAAGACAAGATAGAAACACTTATTTTGACCACTGAAAAAAAACTCAACCCCATTATCTCTGATGTTCCTTCCTACTTGGTTGGAAAACAGTCGTTTATCAATTTTTCAAAAAAATCGGCTTTTCCGAACTCTGCAAACCCAAATCTGTTTGCTGCTTGGACCATAAAAGCTGGTATTTTCTCAGCTCGCCTCAGTTTACTCTTAGAGTTAGCACTGTTTTTCTTGACGTCGAAACTTCGCCTAGTTAGCTTATCACTTTTTTACTAAGGTAAACTTTTGTGTATCTCAAAGACCGCGGCGGAAATCATTCAGTAATTTACGCACAGCAACTTGTCTGGCTAAAATTTGAAATGAATGCATTTACTCTGGCAATGGAGCTATCGCACGGGGTGCATCCGTCTTCCATATGTTATGTGCATCTAGCATAACTTGTTTATCTCACACTGGACTTGACCGTATCAACGGCACTATTCGGCAAGATGCCAGGTGAATAACCTCCCGTCTGGCGATCTTATTTCAGACGTCCGATTATAGTTTATCATTTGGACAAAATAACCGGTGTGTTGGAAAAACCGTACTTGAGTTCTGCCGAACGGTGAGCAGACTAGCTGGTCTTGGTCTTGACTAGGGAGGTGTTAAAACGAGGTAAAGTTGGCAAGTTTTCTGTAAAAAGCGCCCAATGAACGACCATCGAGATAGGCAACATGACCAAATAATTTAACAGGCGCAAAAGCAGGTCGAACTAGTTTATCGGCCTCACCATCCCCGCGGTCTGAAAGTGTGCAGTTGCTGCGTAGGGCGAATTTATAGACGAAAGCGATCGATCTGTCCACGTTTGTGCTGCTCGTCCAGCCAATCCACTCGTAGTGAATGGCACAATCATCCATCGATTTTCAGCTTTTGAGAAGTTTGTTTATCAAGGGGACCACGGTAAAGTGCTAAGGACACGTACAATTGGCCACCGCGAGGCGCCTGAATGGGAAAATCGCAGGAATGTGTTCAGTTGTCGATTACCAAGTCAGGTGTCCATGAATTTAAGGACCGTGTCCGTATCGGTAGTGTCAGTTGGGCCATACCCATGCAGTCAAAATACAAATCGTACACAGCGTTTATTCAAATGTCCTTGCAAATCCGGCTTGTTGCGCTAAGTTTTAGCGTGCAGCTCACTTCACTCACACGATGCAGAACTATTTGGCGATAAATAACACCACGTTTAGGGCTTCTGACTTCATGACATTCCTTTCATTGAGACATCTAACTACTACTTTCACCGACAACAATCCTGTTTTAGGAGACCAAACAAAGTTCCTATCTATCACCACTCTTGTCAAGAGCTTCTCGGGTGGTTTTCAACCGACTGGAAGGTGTTCTCATCCTGTTCAGATGTGATCATTTCAGCTGACGTCTTGCTGAATTGTACCGTTGTTTCGTACATCCCAGTGAAGGAATATCACATCACACTGGAACGGTCGATAATTTTTACTCTTCTGATGGTCTCAAACCGCATTACGAGAAAAGCCCTAGTACCATATGGACGAATTCGGTTGGTTGGGTTCGTTCTGTGAGGGGCGAAATACAGCCTCTGCACTTTTATTGCTGCAATCAACTCTTTCTACTGACACTGAATTCAGTAGTGTAAAAACCTCCGGAATTTATTAATACTCTTCGGACCTTTGGTATCACCATTCATGGATCTCCGTAAATGATCTAGGAAATGAAGGGTAAACAGCTGATCGTCATGTAAGCTGGTTACTCTCTGGTGTGTTTGGCACACGGCCACATTTGACACGTCGGTCACCATGTAAGTTGGTTACTTTCTGGTATGTTTGGCGCACGGCCACATTTGACACCTGCGCACACACTCATTCTCAACCCTTGCTTACGGGAGTCTATCGTGCATTGCCTAATAGTTATCACCACTGACAACAATGCCAGAGAAGGACACTGACGCTTCGTGCCGTACAACCATGTCAGTTTATTTCAATAAAGCCTTTTAATAAAAGGGATGAGAAATGGGACATTTCAGGGATCAAGGGCCAGCCTACCGCGAACACCCAATGTGTATACACTTCTTACACGTAGTTAGACAACCTGAATAAAAAATGATAGCATAAATGCTATTGACATTGGTTAGCTACCAGATCGTTCACTGTCTTTGGCCAAGCAATGGAACGTCAAACAAACGCCCTGTAGAAGTGGGAACAGTACTAACGTCATCCATACTTCTCGTAACTTCCCTCATTCCCTTCTGTTCTTTGTCTTGGTGCACTGGTTTCAGTCGGGTGGTTTGTTACGTCATCTCAGCCCAAGTGCCCCTCTTCAGTCACAATGCACTCATTCTAGTCCACTCGGGACCCTTTTCAACAGAAGACAAGGAAACATTTAAATCTGGTCTAAAACTCTACATGACTAAGTGAAAATAGGATCAGTTTGAGCCGTCCGATATGACCAACTTAATGTGTTGTTTATTGACTGATGTTTCCTATCCACGCCTCACAATGTACCTACGTAATCAAAGTAGTGAACAATCTATGAAACGCTCACTAGGTGTGGAAGGAATGTATTGTCAGTTTCAGTTCCGATTCACCACGTATCCGCATTGCTCATCTCAGCCTTCCGTCTTTTATCCCCCGATCATAGTTATTAGTCGAGGCACGAAACGAAACGGAAATTCATCGAAATGCGGCTCAAATTGCCAAACATCAACTCAAACTAAGCGAGCAAGCATTGGGTGTGGTAGAATCCAAACAAAAGGAACAAGAGGCGCGCATTAATGAGCTTGAACGCGAGGTGGCGGCCTACGAAGCAATGAAGGAACGCAGTCAAGCCGCTATAGCGGGCCTGCAGCAAGTGGTGCGGGATTCACAGGACCAGGTTGTCAGATTGGAAACTCGTCTGAGGTGAGTGTCTGACCAAATATCCGTCTTCGGGTTCGATTACATTCACAAGTTGGTTGGTTGTAGAGAACGTAAATTTTGGCTTGCTAATTAGACAGGACAACTCATTATCGTTTGCTTTCCCAGACAACTATCGGCTGTGAATGAAGTGACAACAGAGAGCGAAAATGAAACTGTGGGTTTTGTCAAACGACTTTATCAAAGAATGGGGCTATCCGATTTGACCACAAGCTATGATAGACTTTACAACAAGGTGAGCAATCGATGTTTGGTGACAGAATGCTGTTTAATTTGGTCTACATGTGTATTTACTCTTTACTTTCCACGAGCCATCATCGTCGGGTGAGGTCGACGCCACGATTCTTCAGGGATACAGCTATTGCACAACCTGCATACAACATTTCTGTGATGATCAACGCCCCACGGGGAATCCTGGCCACCTGTACATGACGCGTTTGTACGTCAACCACCGGCTTAAAGTTTTTTTTGTGAAATCTGCTGTACATTCTTAAAGTCCACGTTAAGTGAGGAGTGAAAATTCAGGACCGGAATCGAGCAAAAGTGAGGTACTGCAGTATAATAGTGAAGGTCTGCAACTTTACATATCTCTGTGATATTCTCTTATGTACTCTAAATATGGAGTTGTCTTGGTGCAAGAAAGTGCCAAGTTTGAGAACGCGCCACTAAGGACTTGGCAGACCATGGGTAACAGTCAATTAGGCTCACCATAAAAGGGCAGCTTCTCACCACAGATGGTGTACTCCTTACCCCGTGCCACTGACTATTTGCCTCGCGTCACTCTGGTTTAGCTTGGGTGCCAACATCCCAGTCAACCAATCATTTTCAAGGCCGCTTGACCATGCTTCCAACTTCCAATGGATCACTCACACTAACACCTATCCAACCGACGGTTTTTTGCATATCCATGGAGGTCACAACATACCATTTAAGTAGTATATGAGACGGGTGATTGAGAGACCCAGAAGAACACGGACCAACCATTCACAGCAATCCGTCAAGCTTCAGTGTTTTCTAAAAAAACATCAAAGGCAGTAATGGGTGCTTCTAAATATGAACAAATATTCACAAAACGGTCGAATCCCATAAAAGGCGATGGGAAGGAGGTTGCCATACTGGATGGAACGAATGGATTAAAATACAACACAAGGCTAAGTTACAAATGCGTGTAGAAAATTTAGTGTTCAACTACGAAATGGGGTTAATGAAAATTTGGGTCATGCTCATGAAGGGTGGGGCCGAAAGTGGCCAAAGTTTTCGTCCGGTCTATCGGCATTGTTGAACTACTGTTTTGCAATAGCTCCAAGTCTCAAATAAAGTCTCTAGTTGATATATCGACCGACACTCAATACAACATACAATATTCTACCTTCTTCACAAATTGATAGATTTCCGATCGCCTGGATCAACTTGCTCTCTTGGAGTTGCAACATGCACAAACCGAAGCAAAGCTCACCAAAGTTATGCATGAGTTGGAAAGCTTGCAAACATCTGCAACCGATCTGACCAATCGATATGAACTAATCCTGTTGGAGAAGAAGACGCTGACTGAGGTATGTCAGTTTCCGTTGGTCCCTTCAGATATAGTTGAACCTAACGCTTAGATGAACATGTGGATAGTTTGAGTGATAATCGCAGATTGGAGGCTGTTTCCGTCGACCTTCGTTTCGATATATTACGTTCTGCTAGTTACATCTTTGATGAAGCAGTGGGTAAACATTTTCATACTTTACACAATTTTGCCAACACTCACTACTTTCACATATACCTAGGTTCATCTTACTCCCCAGTCAATAAATACATATAAGATCGTCCAGCTATAACACCTTATCGGTGCTTATGTGCCACGCCACCCGAAGGAAATACGAGGGCTGAGATACTGCCAGGGGAAGTCGAGATGTAGAGGTGGGGTTCGAACCATGGACCTACCGGTCAGTCAATTCGCGCTCTAACCATCTGAGCCGTCTTTCTACAGGTAGCAGTATTGCGAAGCAGAAATTGTGTGAATTAATGACTTAGAACTTCAAATTAACAAGTTTGACACTGTGGCGTTTTGTACTTTATTTTGCTTCCATTATAGCACTACGTATTTCATCAATTGCATAATCGTTTTTTGTTTGAATACGAAAAACTTCTGCTTTGAACTTGCACTCCCCGTTTATATCACTACAGCCCCCGGAACAAACCAAATCGGCCCCATTTTGTACAACAGATTAATCATTTGGGATCAGGCCACCGTGAGCTCACTCTGTTCGCTAAGAAACGCATGTGCACTCGTGGACGCTTTGGTCGGAACGTTCACTAATGGGTTATTTGCCAATTTGAGCTTGACTACCTCCTAGAGTTTACTGCACTTTGGAATTGCCAGACAACCCGAGAAAATTCATATAAGGACAAGGTGCAGTTGCCTGTCCAATCAGATCCTCAAGTTCGATAGCACCACACAGCCAATTTCATTTAGACGCTGACGAATAGTGCAGTTGGATGGCCCAATAAGCAAACCGGTAGAAAATTGAATTTAAATTATCGATAAAAGCTTACAAAGTACACTTTGTCATGTCCCCGGAAGGTCGTTCCAAAATGCACTTTTGTCTTAGCAAGATCGTGGCGCTGATCCTTGAAATAGATTCAGTAAAATATACGGCTTCATGTCATCCCAAATCATCATCCAAACTTATTTCTAGTCAACCCTACGTACCAGTGCTGGATGCATCTGTTGTTGAATTGCATAAAGCTGTTCAAGGGAATGTCCGCAAGGAACTCATGCCTTAATCAATTATTATGTGTCCATGTGGGTACCGGATGTACACGGTTATACACGTATGATGGTCGAGTTCACTTTTCGTCTTCACGATTGGACAATAAAATAGAAAACACAACATGAAGGGAATGAAAATGGGATCCAATCAAAAAAGCAGCTGGTCTCGACCTGGGACTAGATCTCTCACAAACTGATACAGCAAGCGTTTGTTTAGTATGCAAAACCCTACTGTTTATTGGAGCAGGTTAATTAATGAGCATTTGTGCTCCCCTACTGTTATCCCACTCGTTTTTCACGTGCATCCACCCTTTTCAGGAAGTGGCCAGTTTGAAGGCAAAAAACGCGGATCTACTGTCCCAAGTAGGGTTACATCAAACTTCGTTGGAATCGAAAGAGAAACAAATACAAGAGATGCGTAAACAACTGGAAGAATCAAATTTGGTGCTTCAAAGAGGGAAACAGGAGTGGGATTCGCTCAAGTTCACTTCAGAGATGACGGCAATTCAAATGAAATCGCTTCTGTAAGTGGTCACAAAGGTTCCTGGAAGGATGAATATGGATCACATGTTCTCGTAATTTAACATGTCCTTCGTGGCATATAAGTTAATCTTTACAATTGACACAACCTTTTAAAATCCATCTTCATTAAAACACATGACAGATAGTGTGGTCTGTTTTGTTCCTCTGTAGGGCACACTCACTGTGGTCAACAGATGCGATATTCTTTCACAAAATCGATCTTCCTCGAGAATGGGGAGAGTTGTTCCACCCACTGTGGCATTCGTTCTTTAAAAACATTCATTTTTTCTTTCTACACTATAAATCGTTTGCAGTGTGAGGAGGTTCGGGAATTTTGTGTAGCTTTCGTCCTGTAAGTGAAGCCAATCTATGCTGAAAAGCCACGCTGACGCCATCCGACTCAAGTCACGCTTCTGAGGCATCGGTGGTCAAAAACCTGAAGACGCCTCACATCATCTGCCCCCATAGACTGTCTCGCATCCGTACAGCAACACAGCTCTTATTGTAGCCTGGTACACCCGACCCTTAAGATCCAGTGAGATGTCTTTCTAACGCCACAAGTGACGCAGAATAGCATACGTGATTCGAGCCTTTGAGATTCTTTCACTGACTTCATCAGACACACTTCCGTCAGAACTAATACAACTACCGAGGTATGTAAGGTTTTCCACAATTTCCAGTGGTTCTCCTTGAAGTGTAAAGGATATGTTCGCACATGGCACGTTCTGAAGCAGGACTTTGCACTTTGAAGGTGCAAGGCGCATGCCGAAAGATGGTGTAATGGTGGTCAGTTTGTTCAACAAGGTTTGTGCTTCACTTTGGTCTTCAAAGATAAGGGCGATGTCACCTGCGTACTCCAAATCGACAAGTCTCTCACTCACCAGCAACAATTTGAAAGCCGGGATTTTGAAGACCGTCCAGTGTTCGCCTAATTATTTCATCATTGACGAAGTTGAACAAGAATGGAGAGAGTGGGCATTCTCGTCTGACACCACTTTTTGTAGGGAAGCTTTTGGAGAGTTCACTCTCACCCACCCAGAAGTATGTGAATATAGGGATCGGATTATGTTTACAAACATTCGAAGTAATTTGTGTTCGTTCTATGAATGTACCCTTCACCGAAACTGTAGGTAAAGTGGTGCAAGTGAGACAGAAAGACAGTTAAATATGTAGCAGGAATAGAAGACTTATCTGTCTCGTTGACCATAGAAGGGTAATTTGAGTGGCTGGTTACTTAGAACCGACTACAGTACGTATTTTGCGCCATTTGGCTGTGGTCAGGTAGCCACACTCCGACGGAAACCTCTTCCTTTTATTCCGTACTGTTCACCTCCTTTATGGACCTTGGAATTCTGACGGCGCTGATAAATTTCTATAGGTAACTTCTGGAGTCCAACGCCCTTTTTTGTGCATTTTCCTCGTTAGACTGTAAAAAAGAACCCAAATGGTCAGATTGTCCAGACGAGTCAGCAAACACTTCATTGCTGTTTCAGCCTCATGCCTCCAATTCCTTATAACTGTTATCCCCTCACTTTATTCTACTTTCAGGGAGTCGCTTGCCGCCAGCCTTTCAACTGTTGAGCAGCCGTGTACACCAACTGAGACGGGTGTCAAGGAGGCCGTGAGACAGCTACTAGAGCAGGTCAAACTGATGCGGGAGGTAACTGATTAGTTTTAGTTCTCTGTAACTGTGAGCACTTGCTCCGCGCTTGAATACTCGCTTAAATGTCTTAGGAGATGAGACAAATGCGCAATTTCCCAAGAACCGTCAACTGCCCATTTCCTTGTGGCCAAAAACTATATCATTCATCATCATTATCATCGACAGCATGACATCAGTGTTCAAAACCGATGCTTCATTGCCGTACAACGATGATTTATTTGAAAGCCTTGTTGTAAAGAAAAGAGTGGACGGGGAAGGGACTTAGTGCTAGCTTACCACAAACATTCCGAGGTGGGTAGAATCAGAACCAATACAACTTCCAAGATACGTAAAACGCTCCACAACTTCCAGTACCTCTCCCTGGATCGTAAGTGGCGTGTTCAGTGACTGCACGTCCACGAGCATGACCTTACACTTTGTGGGTGCAAAGTGCATACCAAAGGACTTTGGTCAGTTCATCCAGAAACAACAGTGCCTTCTCCTCCTCTTTGAAGATGAGAACGATGTCGTCTGCATATTCCAGATCGACAATGTTTTCTTCACAGGCTATTTGAACACCAGGGTTTTGGAGACCCTCCAGCATGCGTCTCATTATTTCATCACCTACAAACTTAAAAAGGAATGGGGAGAGTAGGCATCCCTGACGGACACCACTTCGTGTAGGGAAAAGCTCTCCGTACGCCCTCACATGTCCGGAAGTCTGAGAATACAAGGAACGTATTATGTTTACAAACTTCCGGGGCATTCCTTGGTGAGTAAGCGTCTCAAAAAGAACAGACCGATCAACCGAGTCGAATAAAACTTGTAGATCCAGGAATACTAGAATGGTGGGTTGCTTATTGGTATGGCGTTGTTCTAGCACCTGGCGCAGTGTGAAGATTTGGTCAACACAACCCCTACCAGGCCGGAATCCCGCTTGCTGTTCTCGAGTCACTATCTCACGAGCCACCGTAAAGCACAACTGACGCCAACAGTCTCGTTACGATCGGGTTCAAACTGACCCCTCTGTGGTTACCACACTCACTATGCGCCTTTTTTTTTGAAAACGGACACTACCACCGATTCTCCCCAGTTGTCTGGGACAGACTCCGTTTCCCAAACAGATCGGACAAGCGCTGACTGAGGACTTCACCTCCGTCATTGGAGGGTCTAAAGTTTGTTTTTGATGACAAGGTTTTAAACTGCCCAAGTGATCAAATATGCTGGGAGGAATCGTTGCCAACCGCTTCCGGTTAATCACTGCAGAACCATGTGCGGGTCATTTCGGCATGCCTATCAATAACGATAATTTGTCTTACCGCTTTTACCAGACTGGAGTGAGACTTCAGAATGGTCTAGGATTGATGACACGTGCACCGAAGTGTACTGAATTTGTAGTTCGCTCGAACTGGTATTTCCCACTCTGTCAGTACACACACCAATGTTTCGGGAATTATGATCGTCGTAAGTTAGACCGAACTTTCAATTCAGTAACGGCTAGCTTACATGTTGTTAGTTGGACAAGGACGCGAATTTGTAGTTCGCTCGAACTGGTGCTTTCCACTCTGTCAGCACACACACTAATGTTTCGGGAATTATGATCGCCGCAAGTTAGACTGAACTTTCAATTCAGTAACGGCTAGCTTACATGTTGTTAGTTGGGCAAGGACGTGGAGGGTAAAAACTGGTGTGCCAAAAACACGCTACCTACTGAATCGGTAGTCTAACACAGAGCTCTCATTGGGGCTAGATTTGACGCCACATTAACCTTGGTTGTTTAAATTTCCTGGCTTCATGTCCATTCGATTCTGCGTTCAGATGAATAAATATACGAATAATCCTCGAAACTTGTAGAACGGTGCTGTATTCCATGGAAAAGTCACTGATTTACAAAAGCAGTTCGAGGCTCAATTCAAGGCAGGTCAAGTTGTCAATGAGGAGCTCAAACTGGCCAGACAACACGTTCGTGAGGCCGAGTCTGACAAATGTCATCTGGAGACAGAAGTGCTCGGTCTCAAGCTGATGATGCGTAATGCCGAAGAAGAAAGGAGTACGGTAAGTACGGGTTTGTCAATCACATGTTTGTTTTCCTAAATGTTGATAGTGTGGTGAGATTTGGTCTTTTCCAAATGAGATTTTAGTCCTGTCATTGACGCCAATCTATGCTGAAAAGTGGAGAGTACTTGTACTGCTGTTTTCTTTTTCTGAGAATCTGAAAAAACTTCAGGGAGTTTCGAATCCGTAACCTTGTGACCAGTGGTCGAACACTTAACTCCAAATGAGATTTTAGTCCTGTCGTTGACGCCAATCTGTGCTGAAAAGTGGAGAGTAATTGTACTGCTGTTTCCTTTTTCTGAGAATCTGAAAAAAATTCAGGGAGTTTCGAATCCTTAACCTTGTGACCAGTGGTCGAACACTTAACCATTCGGCTACGAGCGGCTGACCAGCAGTGTGAATAGCTCTCATAAACGGTTGTTTGTCCATCCTTCCTTTTTTAAGAAAGACGGAACAAGTTCCGAAATTTTAAATCTACGAGGGAAACACTTATTCTGTGAGGGGTTTGCAGACAAATCAATATTTCTAAAAATCTATCGGTGTGCATCCAAGATAACGTTCTGGAATAGGTTTGCCCTCCGTGAAACCGAAATGTTCGAGAACTATAATAGGATACCGTGTCACTGATAGAGTAAAGTACCTGAATCGCAACACTCCAGAGCTGGTTTCTCTCCGTCCACATACCCAGTGAAACTCAAATTGTACACTGTTTGCAGGCTCATTTGCAATGTAATTTCGTTTTAACGAGAGATTCAACTGAATCAAACTGAAATGCTTATTTAGGATATTTCTGAAGTGGAACATAAGATTGACGCAAACGCTGGAACTGCGTCCATCTGAGGAACCCCGAGAAGGGTAAAATTGATAGTGGAGAGTTTTGAGCAACTTTGTTTTCTTGAGTAAAATATGCTGCGATATCTCGAATATCGTTACGGAACGAGGCGTGCTGCGGACGTATGCAGCACATTTAGCTACTCCAGATTGGAAGGTTAATTTTCCGATTTTGTATTTTTTTTGAGTAAATCAACTACGTATTTACGGTTTTTCTTTGTACAGAATAATGAATTGTGCAAACGGCTGGCTGATATTTTGAACAAGGGTGAATTGGGGACGACAGCAGAGACTCTTAAGGCTACGATCGGTAAGTGATCGATCGGTATATGCTGTCCTTTCAATAGCTCAGAGTAACTCGGCCAAACGTTTTCAGTTAGCAGGAGTGGAATACAACTTTTTGCCATGGATATTCGACTTTTCCGACATTCATGAAGTTCCTTGATCGTTTGCACCGGACTGCTCAACAGGGTACGCCCTCCAAATCCTCGACGTCTTGAACGCTTACGGGACTTTTAGACAAGGACGAAGTTGCGGTGGAATTTAGCTTTAGAAGAGATTACTGTACTTCGCAACATTTTACAACATCGTTAGAGTTCCTGGTGCGCAGTATCGAACATCGGAAGATTAGGAACTTGTGACTAATTTCTAGATGTTCAATGCTTACTTTTATTCCAAAATGGAGCGACAAAATGACTGTATAACGTATCAATAAACTAATGTATCACGTTGTTAGAGAGTTCTTTTAGACCAGAGAAGTGGAAATCGACTTGTATCAGTTCTTCAAACAGCACTGTCGGCGGAACACATTACTTATTCGGTTGCTGAAAACGCGATGGCAGCCCACGACCGATTTCGTACTTCTTAGGTCTCACACAGAAGGCATATTCCTCGAGTTCCACTTCAGTCAAGCTTATGTTCTAATTGAATCCAAATTGTGCGAAATTCTTGAATTAAACGCATTTACACATTGATTTGGTTTTAACAGGGCACTCACTCGAGTCCCCCGTTCATGATATTCTTCAACGGGTTCTGCCTCACGAGAGTTCAAAATTACAAAAAGCACCTAGGCATTTAGACTGCACTAACTAACCTTTAATCGAAGCCGTTCGGAAATTGTTGGTTGACATTGCTGCTGAATACCATAGCACCGTCGGTCATCGTGGGATGGATGTTCGAGTGTTCAGTTGGCAGCTGACTTCGCTTGTTTGGGGGCTTGACAGCAGTTTCCAGTAATTTCAATACATTCGGGGTTTTCAGAAGCTTGACTTTCTTGATAAGAAGCAAAAAGTCCCCTAACTGTGACGGTGCTCCTGACGCCACTACATGTTTTAGTTAAGCTCTGGACCTGCGAATTAAGTTAAGACATGCTGGAAAACCGAACTGATTAGCTGTTTCAACTTTGTCAAGAGTCACGGGCGACATTCGGGGAAATCCGACATCATAAACATTCCGGTTGTTCGCTCATAGCTTGCGAGTAGTGTAGTTCCAGTTGATATCAGTCAAATTCGGATTACATTGATAAACCAAGAAGCACTGCGTCGTTGTTTCAACCTGTTGGAAAGCAATCATCCCGATACCTGAGTCTTTAGTTTGTGTTCCTGAAGTCCTGTTCGATCTGAATGCACTGTGCACTTCATTGATCGTTCATGACTATCCATATATGCCTATAGCTATTCGTACACTGGATTATCGTAAGACCGATTTTCATGAGATATTTGATGAACATCATGTGCAAATTGGAGACTTTGCTATACTACGCTTTGGGGCTGACTGCACCTAACGATCCTGGTTCGTAGAAACGCTTCTGTAGTTGATGCCTTTCAGCTGACGGAGAGCAGTGATCTTGATCAGTTAACTAACATTTTGAAGAGCCCAAAGAAGTGTGTCCTAAACTTAAAATGGATCGTAATGATGCACCAGACAAGTATATTCAGAGTTGATTCCAGACCGAGTCAACGTGTCTGACAACTCCTGAATCAACTGACCAGAACAGTCAGAACCAAATTCGATGTCTACTGTCCAGTATGGACGTGTACGCGTTCGCACAACTGAGGAGTCTGGTTGCGACATTTCATCAACACTCGATGTGACGTCATCACTGTGGGGTGAGTGGAGATGCACCGTGTTTGATCAAAAACGGCATCCCTGTTCTTCACATTCACTTACACTTTACTTTAAGTAGTCACCTTTCTACTCAAAGAAAACTACCCACAAGGTTGCTGACCTACTTGTGAGTAGCTTCCTTTATGAAAGTACACTGCAATATTTCAAATAAATTACCAGCTGAAAGATGAAACGGCCTTTGTACAGCAAATTCATGAACGAGAGATTCAGCTAAGTCCCTCGTGAAAGCCAAATGGATATGTGAATGAGAGTACTTGTCAAGAATTTCACCTGTCCCAAGAATACCCTTAAACAGTTCGGATGAGTGTCCAGCTATAACACCCTTTCAGTGCCTAGCTTCCAGGTTGCCCAAGCCTACACAGGGGAGTCGAGCTGCGGAGGTTGGGTTAGAACCACCGACCTTCCGGTCAGTAAAGTCGTGCTCTAACCACTGAGCCATCTCGCCATCTCAGCAGCTGGTGGCCGAAGGATGTCGTGTTCGACTACCAGCCAGAAAATTGCGAGTTCGGGGAGCAGTTGTCAAGAATTTTCCCCGCTTCAAGAATACTGCTAAACTGTTCGGATGAAACAAGGAGTCCTTAATTGTTTGTTGGATATTCAGCTATAGTATTTCGAATAAAAGCTCCACATCCTTGATGAATCAGTTGTAAACAAAGGTTGGCGTGAAATCTTCCGTTCAAGAACTGTTCGTGTTTTCCTGAGATCTTTGGTGTTTAATGGCGATTTAGGCAGCAATGGTGAAGACTACCTAAGTGAGACAGTCAGTAGATATACTACTGATTTAGAAAGACTGTCTGATTTGCCTTATTTTTACGCAACATATATCTGCTATGCATGAGATATAAATGCTGCGGTAAGCGTTCTGAACGCTAATAACAAAATTCTAGCCAGGTTGTGCACAAGGGAACCTTACTTTCACAGATATCGGTAGCCAACATCCCATTTAGTCCAAAGGATCTCGCTGCTAAAATGACACACGAAAATGAAAGAGAACCAGTTCTGGTTGGTATGACCAAACCAGTTTCCGAAAAAAATCCAGTTCCATTTCTCACGACAGATCCGTTGTTTTCATCTAAAGCACACAGTACTTACAGTTCCTTCGACTTGTTTGAAGACACTGCTTGAAATCCCCCTTTCTATTCCAATAACATCCAGTTCATTATGAGTATTATGAAGAGGCTTGGAAGTTTTAGGTGAGGTTTCGCCCTGTAATTGGAGTAATTCTGTGCTGAAAGTCGAGAAGCACTGGATGGCCATTTCATGCTCATCCGAAATCATCTGCAGTTCTCCTCACGAAACTCCAGGCAGGTTCGGACCCGCAACCTCCCTGTTAGCGGTTGAACACTAGACGATTCAGCCATCAGCGGATGATTGATGGTGTCATTAACTCGCACTAGTTTGTTAATCACGGAAGGTACGTCACATGGTCCCGTGTTGACCTGCTTCTCGGGTGGCGAGATGGTAGACGATGTCCACCAAAAGCAACTAACTGTGCCTGTTCTTTGCACACAATCGTTTGGTGGCATCTACCCTTACAGAATCGATCAATTATGCAGACAGTTTTGGTGGACAAGTAACATTCCATTCGGGGTTTTTCGCCAATGTGATTTGGTGTATCAGTGCTACAGGTTAGTGGAAACATTGGTCGAATGGAAGATTCTATATCGCCTCTCGCCCAAGTTGTCTCAAAGAGGAATAAAGCTTCACTATTTTTTCTGTTTTGTGGCATTTCCGTCATTATTTCGTTTTTCTTAGCCTGTTTTTATTGTTTTTACTTCTTGTTCGACAGCAGTTTGCTCATATGTAAATTGGCAATATTTTACTCCTTCTTGAAAGCAACACTTCTGGGAGATTCCAAAATGCTTCTACAACGGGGTATTTCCTCATAGAAGAGTGTGTTCTCCAAAAGTTACGCAGGATGGAAGAAAACTTGGATAGAAGACCGTGGCTAGACCGGTCTGTTAGAGGGTTTCGAAGCACCCGCACAAGGCCCCAGAATGTGATTCAGGCAGTGTTTCTGACAACCTGGCGCAGTCACATGTGAATATGGACTAACGAAACCGTTCAAACACTTTATAGAGTAGCTTGCGGTGGCAACTGCAGAACCAATTAGTGCACCAAGATAAACCAGCTGGCATAAATCCTGCTCTCTTATCGCAACACTCCAAAAGCCTTCACCGTTTCGTCGAATCTAATCCTTGTGCATGCTCTGAATCGGTATTAAAACGAAGTGATCGACTAGCATGCAATGCTAACAGGACGGTTCAAGGATAGACCATGAGCGTCCGATCGTTGTTTAAGTTCCATGAGGTGCCAGATAGGTCAGCGTAAATCCTATATTCTAGGAGCTCCTGCAGAGAACGACGTCCGCACTGGTGCATTTATCCGACACATCCATGTGTGCTTTTCTAGGGGAAAATTATCACCTAATCAAGTTATCTAGTCGGATTAATGTAAGTGAGTTAGTGTATACATTGTATGCGACAAAACAGCGAAGTGGTCGTCACTTACTAAATATGGGTCGACCGCAAAGAGCAGTCTTTTTGAAGTTTTTTCCCATATGGGCCATAACAAACATTCGGTGAGCCAGAAACGGACGTTCCTTTGATTTCAGATCCCCTTAGGAAGATGGTTTATCGGGAAAAAATTCCAGAAATCCCTCTTATTTGGAAGTGTATCCTCGACAGAATTTTGCTCTATTAATATAATCTGTTGTTTCTACCTCGTGGGCTTCATCACAACACTCTAGTGGAAGTGAATAGTATCACTGCAGGCGAAATCGATGACCTTCGTTAATACTGATCTGGTACGGCAACGGAGCATCGGTACTGAAAACTGATGTCATGCTGTTGGTGATGATGATGATGATGTTGGTGATGATGATGATGATGATGATGATGATGATGAGGATGATGATGATGATGATAATGAGGATGATGATGATAATGATGATGGTGATGATGATGATGATGACGATGATGATGATGATGATAAATCCTGATTCTGCGTGATGTTTTTTTCCGTTTCTGTCCAGTCTTATGATTCGGCTAAACTGTTGTTATCTAAGACAATCCAGTCACAGCCAGCTTTCAATTCCTGTTTGGATGTTGCGAGATTCATTTCCCAAGTTGGTCCGTTACATCTTATTCAAAGCAAACAAACTTCACCGTACAACTTTCATTTTTCCTATTGTGAATCTCAGGTACTCTGGAACAACTTGTTGCTCGAGGATGCATCAGTCAATCTTGTTTGACACCCACTCAAAAGACAAGTGTTTGCGAACATCGAAAAGACTATAACGAAGGACATTTTCATCATCCACCTATTTGTCCTCCGGTACCTGAGAGCGTCGATCGAACAATGATGCCAACTTGTGATCATCGCAGTTTGGACACACTTCTCGAAAAGCTTCGGGGAAGTAAGGGACAACTTACGGAATTCGAACTCCATCAAATCCGTGAGCTCTGCACCAAGTGTCTTCAAAATTTGGCCATCTGTGCCTGGAAGTTGGTAAAAGAGAACCAACGCAATTCTGCATTTAGAAACAATGAGAGTGGGGAAGCGCTGATAAAGGGCCTTGAATTACAGTTGGAGACAGAGCGAGAGCGGGTCAAGACACTTTCAGTTGCTCTTTCGGTTGCGGAAGATAAAGTAAGTTCCACAATCACTGTCAGTGTGAATTGCAACGTGCACAAAGGCTTAGCCCTAGGAGAGCGCGAGTTATTGCTAGGATTACTACGGCGCTCAGGTACTTCAATATGCTCTCAAGGAGGGAGGCATACATACCATGTCTTTCTTTCTACTCGTCATTCAGACTGACCTAGTACTGAACACCTCCAGCAGATATTCGGGAGTTTTCGGGCTGAGACCCCACACTGTAGTTTGCCTTGAACGGTCTGTTGCAATCCGTTGTCAGCAGGTGAAAGCTCCCACCAAACTTATGTAACCATTTCCTTAATTGAGTAACCCTTTTCCCTTTCGTTGATAAAATTTTATTGTGGGGTACTCTTGTGAAAATATAATCGCGCTTCTCGTTTGTGACCGAGAATTGTGCGGGTAGCCAAGGCCTCGAACGAATACCTATGAGTAATCTGAAAGTATCAGGTGTAGGCCTACCTGACAGGCTTGACAGGTGGGTCATGGTTTGGTCTATTCAGGAATGATAGCAGTATATACTGGACGTATGCAGTTAATAAAATAACACTATACTATCACTGTAAAGCCATTGGATGTTCAGTTGTTTGCATCCGCTTGTATTCAAAGTCTTGGCAACTTCAAGACCCTCACCTCTCGTTTTTTGCACAGTTGTAGCCAGATCTGTTGAAAGTCGCAGGAAAAAGGGGATGTTTTCGAGGCTATCTGACCAGACTGGCTTAGCTACAGAAAAGACTCGACATAACAACAGCTTAAGTTTGGGTAATGGTCTCTCAAAGCTATAAAATCCTGGCTTGCTTTTCAAGTAACTAACTAATGTATTGATCAGTTTACAAACCCAAAGAAAGCTGTATCAAATTGTGCCCTTTAGGTCATCATAGGGTTCTATTTGCAATAACCTTCTACACATATTTCTGTTGATTATCTCGTGGGCCACCTGAGCACCACACATGGAATACAAGAGGGGGGGAATCACCCTACTACCTTCTATTGCTGGAGTGTGTATTGGAATCGAAGATGGTCCAATATTTATTGAACGCACAACTTGAGTCAGCACTTATTTTCACGAATTAACTGTGGAAATCCAGTAACTTCGATTTACTATTTCACCGGCTGGTGGCTTTAGACAAGTTGACCTATTCGCTGGTTGTGACCTGGTATACAACAAATTGGTGGTCGCAAACGGGAAGCTTTCTTCAAGCTAGTCTCCGCTACCAAAACCCAACGAATAAGATGCAATTCTCGGAAGAACGTATTGTTACGCAACACGACATCCTTGAAACGTGTGTATAAAAGAACTCAATTGCTCCCATTTCCTGTTTACCGATGATAGTGTGCTTGGAGGTCTGAATGGTAGCAATAAAAAGTTGATGGATCACATCTGACACAGGTAAACGCTGTCGAGTTTGGTAAACTTTTGACAAGTGAGAATAAGTCTTCCAAGTATATGAAAAACACCCGAAGAGTGGATGCGAATAAAATAATTTCAAGGCTGTTTGTATAAGATGTGCTGTATCTCCCCGAAAGTGCTTCAAGCGCGTGTGTACACGAAATATTGACTTACCTCCTTAAAACCTATCATTGGGGCAGCGAAACTTTGTCGTTACGGATGAATTTCGCTCCACCTTTTTGGATGAGTGGATATTAAGCACTGCCATGTTCAAGGAAGAAATTCTGTCCAAACTTCTACTTGAGGTCTATCTTTCCCCCTAGCCTCTGTGACCCCTGAAGCCAGCCTGAAAAAATGGGCTAACCGTAGTTCATCAACTCACTGGTCGCCTAAGCAAGTTTGATACAGATTTCACAATCGGGCGCTCATCGGTGAGTGCACAGAGCAACTAATGCAGTTCTCCCGCTAAAAAAACTTGGCCTCTGTATATAACTACGTGAAGGCGCTCAGTATTCGCACAATAGAATCGAATTTTCGAAAGATATGACGTGTCCCTGATGAACCCAAGCAATCGGGCAATAGAGTTCAGAGTACCAGTCCGAACTTTTGAGCCCCATTTATACATCCTGGGGTCTCAGCGATGCTTGAAAATTATTCCACCAGACTTTTCCGCCAGAAGTATGATTGCTTCAGTGGAAAGTAAAACTTGGTGAGCTGCAAAAAAGTGAACGTAGATTAGGATGGTTTTTGGTTTGAGCACATATGCAACAAAGCGCAGCATTTGGTGCGAAGAGTTTTTCTCCACTCGTAAAGGTTTTGCAGCTAAGAGGAAACTTGGTGAGCCGCAAAAAAGTGAACGTAGATTAGGATGCTTCTGGTTTGAGCACATATGCAATGAAGCGCAGCATTTCTTGCGAAGTGTTTTTCTCCACTCGTAAAGGTTTTGCATCTAAGAGCATCGTACGGCTAATGAGCCCCCTACGGGAACGTTACAAAGACTGGCAAATATCAGTCTCTCCCAAACAGTTCCATTGGCTTGACTTCTCGGTCTACTTTGTAGCTACTGTTCTATCTTCACATGCTCTTAGTTGCAAACCGATTTTGTTTTAACGGGAGACCCAACTGAATTCCAGCGTTTGCCGCGGCGACCCAAGTTATAGTGTGTAGCTCTCTGATGTAGGCGCAGAAATAGAGGGTCCTCCTTTTTTGACCTTCCACGTAACGAATGAATCTTGTAGACGCAAACACCTCAAGCTTACCCGTATTTGATCCAACAATTTCATACTTTACTTCGGTTAGTGCTAGAGTACGTTTTAGTTACCATGCCAATTCAACGTTACCGAGGCAGCTAAGCCTCATGTTTGCTCATTCAGATAGCAATTCACCTGTTTCCTTTTGTATTCAGATTGCAAAAGCCGATGCACTGGACGAAGCTGTGGTTAAACTGGAAAAATCCAGAAAATTGCAAGCGAAACAGTTGGAAAAGTTTCACAGGCAGGTGGAACGTGGAAGTTTAGATGCGAAACATCATGCGGAAGCACTGCAAGCGGCTAAGCGTTTGTTGGCGGAGACACATGATCGAAAATTTAAAGTGAGTTTGATAGGCAACTCCTCTAACTGACCCCTAATTGGATCGCATTGCAATTCTCGTGATACTAACTCAATGGATGGATGTTGCTTGTTCATGTTCACTTTTTTTACTGACAGCTCTAGCCCGAATGTGAGGCAAGCTAAAGTTGAAGACTACTGGATTCCAGCGAAGTAGGTCAGCACTGGTTGGGTTCGAACACATCGGCATAACAACCACTCGTGATGTTGGACTACATGCATTTTGAAAGCCTCAATGACCGGGTAAATTTATTGAGACAGCGTGAACTTTCGTAATACAACACTACTTATTAGGCTGATGAAACTCTTGGACGGTCTATTGCCGGTTTTGTTGTTCTTCGGGTTCATCAGCCGAGCATGGTTTTACCAGTGTTATTTCATAGTTCGACTCCAAACTGTATACGAGTGGAGTTACACACTTATGTGCAAGTCGAGTCGAAAAATCGTTCAGCTGTAACACCCTTCCGGTGCCCGGCTGCCATGCCACCAGAAGGAAGCACAAGTGCTGGCATACTGCCAGGTTGCCCAAGCCTAGACAGGGGAAGTCGAGAGGCAGTGATCGGGTTCGAACCACAGACCTTCCGATCAGTAAATTCGTTCTCTAACCACTTGAGCCATCTCACCGACAATTAGCCTTGTTAAACCATTCAACAGGATAATATTTGATTTCCACTTTGCACATTCCAAGCGATTTGGAATAATTTAAGTTTCTGTCTGCCTTGAATAGCGCTGAATGACTTGCTGCGGTTTACACCTGATAACATTATCAATCTGATTTTGTCGTGCACGTGAATGGATCATTTATCTAGTATTAGCGACACTCAGCTTTATTCATCTGGTAATGACTCTCCGACTCAACGTTTTGCAGACACTTGAACACGTGATACTTGTTTCTCACTCACAGCTCAGTCGGTTCTTTGATCTCATTGGTCGGATGGTCAATGTAGACACTCGTTTCGAACCCAACCCGGAAATGCAGATAATTCAACGAATTCAACAGTTGTTGGAAGTGATGCGGCGGGCAGGAATTCATCAGCAGCCAATGATTATACCACTCTCTACTAGCCCGTCTTTGTACACAACACCGGGAGTAGGTGGGTTTCCCTCAGGAGAATACGGTATGTGGAACCCGGCCTGTCCGTCCGCAGGCGACACATCAAATGCAACGGTGACATGCCCCGACGGCAAAAAAGCTCTCTGTGGTAAGCAGGTTCACTCTTGCGGCTTAGATATAATGATTATCTTTCAAGATATCCCTGGCTTATTAAGATATGAGGGAAAAACAGCATGTCCTCAGTTTTTCCAGGATAGCGCTAAACTCCAGTACAACACAACCATAACTGTTTGATCAAACGGTTTATTGCAAAATCACGAAAAAACAGGTGCTAGCTCACCAAAGGCAGTGTTACTTCGGGTCATGCGGTGCAGTAACCAACTACTCCTTTCAGCCAAGATTTCTCAAAGAAATAATGCAACATAATCGAACATTTCAGTACAGAATTTCACCCACAAGTGATAACGAAATAAAGAACACATGATAATAGCCTGGTCTACCTCAAGACAAAAAATCTGCAGTATGAACCATCCACAGAATAGATAGGCTACTGAAATGAAGCCATGGGGAAGAATGTATTCTGCCTCCGGAGTTCTCGCCGTTGCATAAATCTGTGGTACAGCAATAGGTCTTTGAATGGATAACCGATAGAATGGACTCTTCCTCCTGGCAGCTTGAGTGACACGAACGGGAAGTACCGACAAAAGCTGCACCTATATAGTTCTGTTTTATCTGAAATGAAAAACGTTGGTTTACTCTAAGTTGGGTTGGATAACAATGCTATGCACTGAGCTGAAAGTAACCAAGGGTGAAGTTTCAAGCAAGCGAAGTGTTTGAAATTAGAAGGTTGGTGATGTGGACCACAGTCTCCTTAATGTCTTCGTATTACCGTTAACCTCGGTGTGGATAGCCGATTGATAGCCTGGTGACTGAAAGTAACCAAAGGGTGGAGTTTCAAGCAAGCGAAGTGTTGGAAATAAGAACACTGGTGATGTGGACCACAGTCTCCTGAATGCCTTCTTATTACCGTGAACCCCGGTCTGGATAGCCACCTGGTGCGCTTGGTCAAACGAGAAAAAGCCAATAAACGTGCGAACTAGCTGATCTATTGATCTCTGTCGCGTACAAGCGGGTCAAAAGTGATACCAAGAATAGAACTCAACTGTGAAGGGCGAGTGAAGAATAACCAATGAAATCTGGCTCAACGAAAAACGGTTATTCCATTGGCTGTTATGTAGTCCCGTTACGTTCGGGACTGGTTCTCCTAATTATCAGCCTATTGACACCTAACAGCCCTCAGTTTTCAAAAAGTTGTGGATTTCTCTTGTACATTAAAAGTATGTCTCCAAAGTATGTGTTCAAAAGACAAACCTCCCCGTACTGATGAGTACATCAGACTAACTTGAACATGGGTACCTCACTATTTTTTCACTCTTGGACCGTTAGAATATTCGAGTTCTATTCATCGTATACAAGTGATCACTTTGACAACCAGTCTGATTGTACAGCAAGTACTTCAGGCTTGGAAAACGTCAAAAAACGTCAACTGCGGTGGATCGGCCATGTGGTATGCATGCCGAAATATCGTTTTCCGAGATGAGCGTCATTCTCCGTGCCTCCATCGAAATGACGCAAACTGAAAGACGGACAACGTAGACTTGGCAGAAGGGTTTGAAGGAGATTAGGAAGAGTTTGGCTGTTGCTGGTGTAGCCCACTTCGGGGAATGGTCTCCCCCTGCGTTTGGCTGGATTGTACAATTAATTTCAATGATTTCTTCGCAGTTTACGCTCTCTAGAACATGCTTCGAAAAGACTTCAACTAGTTATCGATCACCATAGAAAAGAGTTTGGGGCAGCCTGCCGTTGCTGACATCAAAGCTGTGTCCCAAATCATGTGGTCTGAAAAATCGACCTGGGACGCCTCTAACGTCAGAAGAAACAAGATTTGGATGTTGTGGACTCTGTGTTTTCTGACACTAATGTTTGTGTACAACAGCTTTTCAGATAAGCTGTCACCTATTGATCCAACTCATTAAAACATAGTATTGACTGAAACAGCCAACTTGAAGGACCAGAAAAAACAAGTTCTCTTGCAGGATTTTCTCGTTAAGGTGAAACCACTGTGTGTATTGGTTTTCCTTCCGAAAAAACGCACACCTCGGGACCGACCAAAAACGCGTTCTTTAGTGAACTATTCCAACTTGGAGGCACAAGCTTCAAACAACCAAATTTAGGACCTGACCTTCTTCGGAAGCAGCCTCTATTCAAGGACATTTTGCATAACTACCAGTCTCATTTAGTTCCGGAGTCGTACTGCTGAAATTCTAATAGAATGAATACCCTACGCGGGAAAACAATCCACCAGAATCCTGCTTAGACACCTAATCTGTCAAAATGCAACACAGCAACTAGAGTAACTGCTGTCTCAAACCTTCCCAGCTTTGGTCGACACCGGTTACTCACACATATCATCAAAGTAGAGTAACAGGCGCTCATCGCTATCCGACCATTCACTGTTAAATTTCCGACAAAAGTAATATTTCCAAGTTCAGCTGGTACTTACTTGAGCGGATTTTGCCAACCTTCTCATATTCGACGTATTCCCGCAAGGCAACACACCTCTCGTAGTTGCCACTGTTCTCTTGAAAGATCACGGGCAATTCGACAGCCCACCACGAACGGCTGATCAGTCGCACTTAAAGAGGATACAACGTCACCCACACTTCAGTCGCGGAAATCGCATCACGTGGTACTGTAAGACGATTCTCTCATTTTCAGCTAAGAGTTCCTTCTGTAGCTAATAATACTAATCAGTAATAGACAGCTCGGATTCTGCTCGCATCGTTCCAGTTTTAGTTCGAGCGCTATCGAATTGCACTTGCTGCTTAAAACACCATTCTAGCTTGCGTTACCAGCCCATTTCGATTGATTAAAGAACATGATGACTCACCAAACAGGCTTCGCAGTGTAGTCTCGTGTTGACAGTGTGTGGGTTGAATAGTTTGGGACAGTTTAAACATTCAAAGCATTCGACGGAGTTCACTGAAAAAGTAAAATAAAACAGACATGTCTAAAACACAAATGAGGCTTTTCAAGCCACGCAGACACTAGTTTTCAAGTAGTTAATGGAGCTCGGAAAGCCAAGGGGATTAACCTACGGTTACAACCAACATTGTGCTTAGCTTGGTGGTCGTAGCTACTCTGATGGAGTAGAGGTCATTTATCTCCCGGAATTTCGCTAGACCACTTCAAAATCCTTGTCGAATGGGATGTGTAGACGTTTTAAACATGGCAGATTCGAGATTCGAGATGCTGCCTTTTGTGAAAAAATCACTCCCTGCTCGGATACCGTGTGATTTGTAAAAAAGACAAATGACGCGGATGTAAATGTTCAAGCTGATGTCACATTGTTCTCTTGTTTTTGCACTCCTCTATTCTGTGCTGGTTGATGCAATACTGTCCTCTTTGTTTACTTGTGATTGTAGGGTAAACCGGGTGAGCCGTGGGACATGTAGTCCCAGGTTCGGGTGGGACCAAGAGCGATCAAACTTCAACAGCGCAATCCCAGCTTACTTGGTTAACGCCATCCTCAAAGACCCCACTTTTTCCCCAAAAGCAGTATATTCATGCTATAACCTTAGTTTGGTACAAGTCTGTGGGTAATCGTGTTTCTGATTGACTGACTTAGCCGTTCTTTAGCCGTTAGCACTATGCAGTCACTTCAGTTGCGCGCGTTTTGCCACATTGCAATCTGTAATCTGACAATGAATTGACAGGTGAACTGTTTGCGAAGTCCTGCACCCGGTGTTCATAATTCTGTCTGTGCAAATCAGTGATTCTAACTTTTAACATTGTGTTTGATGTGGCCACAAACTTGACTGTTTGAACGCACTTAGGCTATTCTTCTTGCTGTAAAAAAGCTTTCCGAGAAGGGATCCGTAGGCCACATTCCAGTAGAACACACTTGATGTGGCCACAAACTTGACTGTTTGACCGCACTTAGGCTAGTCTTTTTGCTGTAAAAAAGCTTTCCGAGAAGAGATCCGTAGGCCACATTCCAGTAGAACACACTGCGATTGGGGTTAGTTCTTCAGACCTAATCTAAGCAAACGGAAACAGTTCATTCGTCATTCCCACTGCACTAGTCCAATAAGTAAGAGGAAAGAATTGTTACCCGGCTGCCTTTTATGCGTGGTGTTTCATCAATCTTTCTGTTTGACGATCTGTTCTAATCTTCTGTTTGTTCGACCTATTGCTGCACTTATATAAAAAGTGAGCTTTGTTTACATCAACTCCTAACACGCCACCATGCGGTGAGTTCCAGAGAACTGAGTGATTAAGGGAGGAACCTATTGACTAGTGGGCCTGTGGTTCGAACCAAAACTTGACTGATGATGTCTAGGCAACAGAGCAGCACCTCAGACCTCGTGTTCCTTACAACTGGTCACCGTGCACAACTTAATTACTATTTTATACTATACTATACTATTCGAATAGGAATAATCCTAGCGCTCAAAGACTTGCACATAGATTTTTCACTCTGGTGCTCTGACTTGGTCTCACTAAGGTGTTTGTTACGTCATCTATATTTATGTTGATTCTTTAGGTAAGGGAGTCGGAAACCTCTTCCCGATTGCGTTTACATCATCGATGATTGGTGATATTTGGTCGAACTAATCATGTGACACCCTGATTGCTTCTTTCTGTTTCGATTCCATCGTGCAACGTAGATGAAGTATCAACACTCAGCTTGTTTATTGACCACTAATTTTTTGGAGGGAAAATGCACTTAAGTAAACTATCTTGGACAATAATTGGTTTTCAGAAACGAAAGACAGAATCACCGATGAATCAGTTCGACTCACCTAGTTGTTAAGTAAACTATCTCGGACAATAATTGGTTTTAAGAAACGAAAGACAGAATCACTGATGAATCAGTTCGACTCACCTAGTTGTAAGTTTATTAGAATGCACACAATAAGGGTGGCACTTCCAAAGCAGGAGATGGTTGTCGTCAACCACATTCCAAATCAGCGCCTTACCGCTCGTGCCTCTGCTGAGCACTTCAATATATAATAATGCAGCCAGTGATTTGCCTCACACTGGTTGGTTGTCGGTTCGAAGGTATGTCGAACTAGGATGAAACTATGGAGCGTAAAATGTTTTGACGCACTTATTGCTTGCAACAGGTTATCCCTGATCTCGAGCCGAGTGTAGGCATCGGATGTCTCTCCAGACGAGTGATTGATCGAGTGGCTGACTGGGTGAGTGAGTGAGTGTGTGTGTGTGTCAGGGTGAGTGAGTGAGCCAATCGGCCAGTCAGCTAGTCAATTAGTCAATGGGTCAATCAATCAGTCAATCAACCACTCAGTCAATCAGCCTTCCAGGCAGTCAGTGGACTGGAACCTGTGGGTTGCTTGCAGTTAACTGTGTCCTTTTGTCTGCTTTTTCTACAGGAACTTCATTGCGTCGCCTAAATGATCGATCGGTCTCCTTTGAGCAAGTTCATTCTCGAGAACTAACTTCAGCCCCGGCACACAGACGAGCTGGTTCTCAAATGACGAAAAATTCAGCCCCTTCGAAGATCACCGGTCAGGACCAGTCTTTGGTTCCTAATAAAAGACCCCCAAAGAGAGATGAAAAAAAGTACTAGATAGACTGTGGCACCTGCAGAGATTTATTACATTTGTGGTGGCTATTGTTTTTTCTTTCTTTCACTCTTCCTCCACCTGTAACAACCCAAGATCACCTCACCAACAGGAACACTCATCATGGTACTTTCTTCAGTCCGTGAACTAACTTTTTTCTCGCATTTCCTAACAGAAATGATCATGTAAGTACGATTTTGTCGAACCTAATATGTATTTTATCATCCGTCCACCGTTGCACTTTCCCAGTGGGGACAGTTAAGCTTTCAGTTCTGTTTGGGAAAAGCGGAAAAATTGTATACTCCTCACATTGTTCATGCTTTTCGATTGGTCAAAAATAAATTCACTGTGATAGTAGGATGAGTAGTCTCCTGACAATTGAAAGAACTAGATGCTCATTGGTGTTTAAGACAGAGTTAAAGTAAGAAATGTGCTCAGATAAGAGAAGTCTGTCCTTCACATTCTGACTACGTCATGGTTCGCAGATTCTACTTGCTTATTTTCTTTACAGGTGTCCAATGGGAACGTTTGGAACATTTTTAAACAACTCACGAATTTGGTAAACAAAGCATCATAGGTTCAACGCTTAGCCGAAAGTTGAAAGCTACCTGCAGTCTCTCTGCCTTTCCTGTTCTCTTTAGCGAATCTACTAACAGAAGTCAGCACTCCAGAGTTACTTGCTGCATTTGAGCATCGCCAGATATTCACTGTAGATGATTTGCAGTAAGGATAAAAGAGCCGTACAGTGCTTCTCGGCTTTTCATCATAGGTCGGTTTCACTTACTGAACGCAATTTCCATTATAGCTCCAAACGTTTCCCAATGATACACGTCAGCATTCTCATCTATCGGATTTTTCCGGTCACCCGTATCACAGCGTTTGGTGTCGGAAACCAACGGCCAACACTAAAAAGACTTCGTGCGTCTGGTTCCAAACCTAAATGTCTAGATTGTTGGTGGTGTGAGGAGATTTGAGATGTTTGTTTGTATTGCGTCCTGTGGGTGAAGCCAATCTATGCTGAGTGACCGAGAAGCACCATGCAGCCGTTTCATCCTTATTGGAAATCATCAGCAGTGCGCATCTCACGAAACTCGAACCCGCGACCTCCTTATCTAGTGGTTTGAACACTTAACCGTTCGGCCACGGGTGGCTGATCAGCAGTGTGACTAACTCACACTTAGACAGAATGTAGCGCCGCTCATCCTTCAATCACAGGATCCAAATCACACGATCACACGTGTTGACTGGCTCCTCGAGCAACGACTTCTCTGTTGGGAGTTTCACTCATCGGGTGAAGTTTATTCTTCCACTGAGCTACTTATATATTTTTGGTAGTGTGAGGAGATTTGGGATTTTTTGTGGAGATTTCGTCCTGTAAGTGAAGCCAATCTATGCCGAAAAGCCGAGAAGCACTGTACAGTTGTTTCAAACTGTTCAAACTACTGTTCAAACTACTAGCCAGGAGGTAGCGGGTTCGAGACTCTTCGGAGCTTCGTGAGTTGCGCACTGCTGATGATTCGCATTAAGGATGAAACAGCTGTACAGTGCTTCTCGGCTTTTCAGCATAGATTGGCTTCACTCACAGGACGAAATATCCACACTAAATATCTAGCTTTGATTTTGCGAGGATCTCACCTGGAAGCCATCTGAATCTCTCGTTCATGATGTTCTTCAAATGAATGTGCTGCACACACGCCGCCTCATGTTCCAAATGGTTCGAGATATCGCGATACATGTTTAGACGTAATACATTATTCAAATTTTTGTGTAGTCTACATTCCTAAAAATAGGTCAAAAAATTAGGCAGGCGATGGACTCGTGTTAATCAACATTCCGCTATTCGTGCGAAGCGGCTAGATGCTTAGTTTTTCCAGGTGAACAGTTCCGCAACTTCATCATCATCATCATCATCATCATCACCATCATCATCATCATCATCATCATCATCATCATCATCATCATCATCATCATCATCATCATCATCATCATCATCATCCTCATCATCATCATCATCATCATCATCATCATCATCGCCATCATCATCATCCCAGTCATCATCATCATCTTGATCGACAGAATAACATCAGTGTTCAACGCCGATGCTTCACTGCCCCTAACTTCAGTCGAGAACTGTGTTTTATACAAGGAGACACGTGTTGGTCAAAGACACATTTAGCAATAAGATGAGTCACAAAGTAACTCTGGTCGAAACACCAAATGAATTTTTGTCTGCTGTTATTCATCAAGCTATTTTTGGGACATTTTGAAGGCTACTACTGCGCTGTAGATGATGAGAGAACCGCAACAAATGCCCAGCCAAAGTGAGTCATTTAATAACAAAAATAAAAAAAACTTGTTCATAGGTAACACCCATTAATGCATAGCCACCATGTTTTGCGAGGAAAGCATGAGGGCCGAGATACGGTCGGGAGCAGCCCAGATTCCACGGAACTTCCCGCTCTAACCGCCAAAGTGAGAAACACCATTTGGTATTTCCACGAATTCTCCACTTGTTGAGATTGCGGTTTGTTGTAGTGTGATACAAACTACAATATTCAAATGTCAAAGAAAGGCATTTTATTTGGGCCTCAAATAGTAGTTCGTAAGCCAAACTATTTTTTGACACTATGTATTGTGATTTTGTTCAGTGCTCTCAGAGAAAACTGAGGCACATGTTGCTGTGAATCTGAAAACTTAAAACTTCATATGAGGTCTGAAGTCTTGAGTACCTGGCAGTCGTATATTTTATGATGAAAAATTTGAATCATAGTGCAACGTTATATACACGCACGACAGCGCTTCCCAACGGGATACGAATGAAGTGATATTTGTCAGGTGGCATAGGGGACGATATATTTCTGTTTAGGGTCGGTTTGCCCAACATATCCATGCATCCCTCATTGCCGTCATTGTCGTGCATCACACTGTCGGCTCAATGCGGAGTATACGCTGGTCGTTGCTATGAGCGTGTTCAAACAAACCCGAACGGCCCCGGTTTGCTTGGCGGTAATGAACTTATGCCGTTATCAAAACATCCGCTTGAGTGTATGGTCACCCCCCTTTTTTACTCAGTCAGTAATGGCTTGACACGTAGACAAAAGTACCAAGCCTGTCTATCCAAAAGAGGGAGAGGTTTAGATCTATTCCAGTCTCTTTTGAACAGCCTTCCTCTTGTCCATAGCAAAACGGAGGGAACACTGGGTTCGAGTTTCGCTCACATTAGAGACCATCAGAAGTGTATGCGTGTGACCATTCCATGGTTTCGAATACGGACGTCTGATTTGCGCGGTGAATCCATCACCACCAGCGCACACTGGTTGAACAGGCGGATGTATTCATAACTGATCGATTTCCACAGACTGGAAAATGGTCTGTAAGGTATTGTTGCCGTGTATCAAATTAGGCTAAAGTCCATACTGAAAAGCGAGTAAGAACATTTCTGGTTCCATAGCCACCTGAATGCCACCCTGAGTCGTTGGGCCCGAGCTAGCTCATCGCTTAGGGCGCGAACCTAGTGACCGGAAGTTTCAAAGCCGACCTCTACATCTGGACTGCTCCTGTCTAGGTGTGGAACAAATTGGCAGTATCCCAGTCCTCGTGCTTCCTCCCGGTGTCATGGCAGCTATGCACCGATTGGGCGTTCTGGTTGGACGATCCACTTATCCATTCATTTTACCCTCAGTTGTCCAAACAATAAGCTCTTACTGAATTTTTCAGAAAAGCACTGATTGGATAAAATTTACCGTGCTGTCTGCCGAATAAAGAGACAAAGTTCATGGTTTATAACTTAAGAATTTTAGCCTTCTTGTGAATGATCATAGAGAATAACCCAAACTTAGTGTGCAACTGAGTGCTCGGGCATCTCAGCAGAATAAAGTACGCTTTTCGCTCGTCCAAAACTCAGCCAATGTATTTCAAAAAACTCTGTCACAAAGCACATGAAACGTACACTAAGTTGTCGGTCATCAAAACAAAGGGAAAGTCTTGTAATGGGCAGTAAACGTGGCAATCAACCCCTTAGGCCAAGCCTACAATTAGAGAGAGAGAGAAGCGGTCCTCAGTTGACAGAACGGAAATTGAACTTATTTCGGCACTAAAAATAAGCAATTGTTATTTTCTTGTGCCCATGGTAGTCGATAGTTAGCCTATGTTCTGCATATCTAACTCCGTCCGTCCCGGAATTCATAAAAAGCGGCGCCTGGGAACATGCGCACCTCCGGTATTCAATGCTTGCCGAATTCCAAACTTTCTGTCCTTGACCATTTACTAGATATGTCACGCCATCACATCATCTTTTCAATGCTCACACACGCTCTTCTAAGACCATAGGTGCAGTAATCCGGATCGATGAAACGCGCAGAATGAATGCGCACAGGTCATACGAGTAGGCGGTTTTCTATTCAGCGAGAATACTTTCCTAGATAGAAGTAAGTAATGGTTGGATGGTGTTGTTGGATGGTACCTCCAAGAGCTCCAATCCTGAGGTCCTTGAGGGAATGAACAGATCACTGACAAAAACTTTGGATAACAAGAACATTCTGACACCTTCATAGGAATTCATAGTAGTCTAGATCGTGTATCGTCACTTGAACACAAGGTGGGTGGAAAAGCTCGGATTATACTTGTGTAACGAGTCTCAAGAAAAGCGAAACCGGTGTAACGGTAGATACTACTGATGAAGCATGCGAGTAATATGTTTTCTCGCGTCCATTAAAAGTGAGATTTACTACAGAATTTGTGGAATTGCTTTGTAGCATTTGTTTAAGTCAATGAGTATCCAGCAAAGTTCAGGAAGACCTTTTCGAGAAGAAAACGGAATACTCAATTTTATAAACAAGATGCATATGAGAGTTTCGCTTCCCTGTCCAATACTCTGTAACGATTTGGTTGGTGTTTCCCAGCGAACAACCCCGTAGCATAGGCCTTTTTCACGAGTAGAACGGTCCAGTCTGGGTCCGACTTTAAGAATACATGTCATTCAGAGCGAGAAGGTCAATGCAGGTTATCAGTGGAGGGATTACTTGGTGTTCGTGGTTATGTATACCATATAATCCATCTTCAGGCTCACAATCGGGCGAATTCCTCTGGTGCTGTCCTATCGATCGGCAATGCATAAATGAGCCAGTAACTTCCAGGTATCAATGAGTTTGATAGCATTCCTTTGCACATTGTAGTGAGTTGAGCTGCAGCATAACTCTAAATATCATGAGTGGTCGTCATCACAGTCAGGATGAAGCATCTAGGAGAGAGACTGGTTAACCAACCTAAAGCGGAATACTGGACATGTGTGCTCGCAGTGGGTTTCCTAATCTCCCTTGAGTTCCCGGGATGTAAATAGTGGAAACCTTTTGAACTAACCAAAAACTGTATCAATACATTTGAACTGTTCTTCATTCTCGTGAGACTACCACATTGGTTTCTGAGAGGAATTAGCCGATGTGGACCGGATTACCCGTGAGTGGATGCATGCGGCCGGAATAACATAACTGCTCGATCGCAGCACTAATTCCGCTCAATGAGAGATTTCTAAATGAGCCATTTTGTTCTACTCTCACGAACTTGACGATTGCATTGAACTGAACCATAGAGGTTCAGTTCCACTGATGAACTCGTAATGAGAAAAGGATGTTCTTGCCTCTCATGGGTAAAATGAATATTGCTCCGTTCAGTCTAAAAGACCCTTTTAAAGCCGCTACAGATAACCAGTGTTTGTAAAATTGCTTTGTAGAATTTGTTTACATTTAAGTAGTATTCAACGAACATTCAGTAAAGTTCAGGAGGACGCGTTCGAGAAGAAGACCGATACTAAATTTTTATAAACAAGGTGCGTATGAGCGTTTTGCTTCCCCGTCAAATAGTCTGTAACTGTTCATTTGGTGTTTTATAGTAAACAACTCAACAGTAAAGGCCTTCTTTCTTTCACCGGTAGTGGGCTGTCGAAAAGTTCTCATCAAACTTAGGAGTACTCCGCTATGTCAAGAAATACATCAGCAATACATCATTATGTCGATTTACTTGCCTTTGTGAGCACATTCAGTTGAGGAATATCATGAAAGATTTGTTGAGTAGATCTTTATTGGGCACATTGTTAACAAGGGGTAGATGTCCAACATATTAATTATCATGCAGATGCTAAGAACGCTTAACTTCCATACAACCTCGAAGTGGTCTTGGTTACGGTCAATGGGGGATTTGATTAAACTACTTATTTGCTCATTAGTAGTCACATTTAAACACGATTCTTCGGTTCACTTTTCCCTATCACCCACATACTCTCGCCCGTGTTGTCCCACAACGGGGACCATCAAACTTCAACACGAAAACCTGACAAAACACATAAACAACTGAATCAAGTGACTCTATTTACTCGATCTTAGGACAGTCGTCAACTCGATCGACCTGTGCTCTAGGGGTCTTGTAGTTACCTAATTCAAGCAGCTCTTATTGACAGGTGATACCAACTTTACCTAATCCAGGGGAAGCTGATCTCTCTTTCGGCGTTCTAATCTTGGCAAGGAAACACCGGAACTAGTGCGATTGAGGCAACAGGTTTGTTTAATCATTTACGGTTTACTTCAATTAATGAGGTAGTGGGTTAAGATGTCTTGTCTTGTGCGCCCCCGTTTTTCAATGCACCACTTTCTTCTTCCATCTACTCGCGATTCACCTTATCCCTCTTTGACATTTCAAATAGCCGTGAGTTTGTCTAACTAGTGACAGTCACTGAAGCACTGATCTGGTTGCTCTGCACTTTTCATCACAGTGTTTTGCCAAAGGATTGGGGATTCGGCCGATAGTTTCCATCGCACGAATCTTCCGGGGTACGTGAGAATTGTCTTGTTATTGGTGGTCAGCCATACAGAAGTGATCTTGTGCAGCCTCTTACAGCGATTTCGAAAATAGAGAAGTCGTCAATTCCTAGAGTAACTGCGCCGTAGTTAATAAGAATATGTGGAATACTCAAGCATAGGGGACTGAAAAGCCTCCTGTAGGTAGCCCACTTTATCGTGGCATGAAAATAAAATTCTAGTCCGTAACCTTGTGAACAAACCAGGCAGCTCACTATTGATAGCTTCCGCTGGTACTTTTACGAAGCTGATACTTTATTTGCTGGGACGAATACACGGAAGATCGTTCTTCTACGAAAGATACGCACAGTAAGGGGGTGGTTGATCCTTTTCCGGGATTTCATTGTATATCACTCCAAGATAAGGGTATGGGTATGTCACTGAGGTCCCTGACCATATTTGGCAAGTGAATATTTGTCATATTCACACTTCATCAGTTCTTTCTTTCTAGATTACTCTTTGATTAGGTTAAAGTTATCGTACTGATTTTTCATACTTTACGTTCGACGATTTTCCAAGTGAATCACCACCAACCCGATATGAAGATGAAGAAAAATGGATCAAAGTGATTACCTTTATTTATCAGGCAGAAAACATTTCAGCTTGTTTAGTGTAGTAACCGGAATGGGATGCTGTGAAACTTGCGTGGGCATCACGTGAATTGCGGATCCCTGAAAAGTTAGGGAAAAAACTGTTGGCAAAAATTGGAAAAGTAGTTACCAAAGGAGTTTTCTATTGCGCTTTTTTTAAAAAATGAGTTGTAAGAAAATATGGCAGGGTTACCAATTGGAACGAGAGAGAATTCCGTAATTTGTCCATGCAAATCAGACACAGACTAGCGGCTGTGTCAAACGAGGAAGAGTTCTTTCACATTGTTAGAAGGGACCCCATGTAAAATTTGACGTGCACTATTTCCCCAGCTTGCGCCCAAACGCGTTGTTCATGTCGGATACGCATTGAGTTGGTTCACTCCTCAATCGGTCAATGAATACATAAGTTTGCTCGTGATTGGACAGGTTATTACACCAGATGCCCCTACTGCCTTTACGTGATTGGTTGGTTTTCCTATTGATTGACGTCGTGCTTTTGACCCTTATATGGTCATTTTTTCGACACAGAACTTTCTCGAATGGTTTGTTTTGGGTTTGTCCTAGGACGCTAGTCAGTGGTGGGAGCGTCATAACACAGATAGGCTCGCAAAATAACTCCGTCGGATCTAGGACGGGCACTTGGAAACTTGTTCTATCTCTACAATTCTCTGATTGTATAAAGATGGCAGCAGCTCTCGGGTTTCAAACCAGAAATGTACACTACAGGAAGGGCTAGAAAGGAGGATTGCCCATAACCGTCAGTGATCGGAGGTATCTGAAGCTGACCACTGCGGTCTAGACAAGTTAGTCAACTACTTTGTCCGTGCCCTGATCGACTTTGTTAGCACATCCGAAACTAAGGTTGATCTACCAAAGCCCCAAGGGATTAATTCTCCTCTCCGGTGTGATTGAAGTCCGATCCATTCTCAGGTACCACACCTCACCTATTCTTACACAAAGTTTTGAATGTAATCAAACGATCACAACCGGGTTGAGTTGTGTAGACTCAGTTAAAATCTTTCTTCTCCGGGTTTGAGAGTGCACGTGTCTAAAAGCATTGCGTGCGCGTAGCAAAGGAGCAGGCATGATTTCAATTCACACTTGCCCTATTTTGAGTGGGTGAACTTGGAACAGTCTGATCATAATAGCGTACGGGTGAACTAGTGACCTAAGCCTGCTTATCGTCAACTTTATTTGCCTTCTCTGTCTGTTTCTCCTTTGTAACCTTTTAATTTTTTCATGTTTCTCTCTCTATTTTGACAGTTCGCTCCTTTTGAGATTTTCAGCTTTAGTTTTCTATGACTTCAAACGTCTTATTCTTCAAACATCATCCGGCCACTTGAGCGCAAAGAAGTATATCTGTCAAATCAATCATTCCTGCACTTTTCTGGCGGTATGTATGACTTACGGGGATTCGAGTACCCGCGGAATTGTTACAGTGCATTTCTAGAACCGCGCTGGAATAGAAGTGCGCCAGTTCCTCTGCATGGTCTGCTTGCATCCAGTCCACCGCATTGAATTTGCTCTCCACACTTCCCGAATACTTGACTGAATTGCTACAAAAGGGTGTGCAATGAACGAAGGATGAACGACGCTTAGAGTCTCCACAACTGCCGATAACCGGCTTTTAGATACCCGGATTTCTACAAGCCCGATTCCAAAATATTGTATGTGGAACGAAAAAGCGTTGTTTCATCCAAATACCAATTGTTTTTAGCAGAAGTTTCCTAAGTACTAGATTGGTCATCCTTCTGGCATCAACATCCGTCTGGTGTGTGGGTTTGGTGATCTTATAAAATTAGACATGAGCTGCTTTGTTCCGCTTACTGGTCGACACCAGGTTCCTAGTACTACCGGATGCCTAAACTCCGATAGACTGTTGTTGCAATCTGGTAGAACGGAGGAGCGCCAGCTGCAGTCCGGTGTTAACGCAAACTCATGACCGATAAACAAATTTTATTAATGTGTGGTCGTTGGCTTGTTCGCTGAGTTGGACAATTCGATTGCAAACGTTTCATCACCAATCGAGGTGACTTCAACAGTGTGTTATTGTGAAGCGTAGTAGTGCGTAGCGGTGAGTTGGTGGTTGTGGTTACTAATGTGTCTAATTTATTCGCTGTCTTCACCCACAGAATGATTGTTTTTCAGGAAAACTCACATGCTTGCCCGAAATTTATCACTCATTGGAAAGAACACAATGAGCACAAAGTTTAGGAGACCTGGATTTGAAGATAGAGTTTAGTCCTGGGAGGCATTTCACAAAACGTTTTATCTTGATGGAGGGACTCATCAGATGAATGCAGCAGAGTCGATCGGCACCACGAACGCTGTGGCAAGCGATGAAAACCATAATCCTCAAACAATGATGAGTCGGATTCAGCCTACGAGGCCTGACTATCCTGAGTTACTCGAGTGGTGAGAGGGCTTTCAGCGTGTTCAAGTGATTCGCCCGTAAGCTTCTCCATTGAATAGTCTCCGTAGTTGTTGGTAGTGTGGGGAGATTTGGGATTTTTGTGGGATTTTGTCCTGTAAGTGAAGCCAATCTATGCTGAAAAGCCATTAGGCATTGTACAGCTGTTCCACCTTATTGGGAATCATCAGTAGTGCGCATATTGTTCGGGGTACTGGTCGACACCAGGTTCCTAATACTACCGGACTATCCTGAGTTACTTGAGTGGTGAGAAGGCTTTAAGCGTGTTCAAGTGATTTGCCCGTAAGCTCCTCCATTGAATAGTCAGCGTAATTGCTAAAGTTTTACTGGCAGTGGATAGCCCCGCTGTGGACCGAGTGAGTAAATCTGTGCAGGCCAATAAGAACCTGATTTGGATAGCCAATAAAACCCCCTGGCTTGGGTTGCCCTATTGTGCTATTGTGTTCGTTACTACCGCCTCTCCCACAGAACTAGAGTTGCATGTATTATAATAAATTGTTAATGAGCCCTATTGTTTATTGTTCCTACCGTCATCGTCTAAGGCCACAGAAATCCCAGGTGGATTGTCACTGATGCCCTTGGACTGGGCTGTCAGGTTGTCGGTTTTTTCACCAATCTTGACCAAGGAAGTCTTCAAGAAGCTGGTTTCAGATACACTGAGCTGGGAGAAGAGCAGGATCATTTTAATAGTTTTGCGTTGCTCAACCTTCCCAAGAAAATGCTGGACCCAGAATTATACGGATCCAATCCAAGTCTCGGCTCACTGAGCCTGAGTTTGACAGGTAAAAACTACATGACTGTTGTTAGACAATACGCTCCAGTGCTTTACAAAGAGCTGATATCCTACTTCAATCAAATCCGAAAATCAACAAGACTCTCCTTTTGGGAGTCTTTACTGCACGTGTCGGTCAAGACCACTCGCTGTTATCAGACGTTTTCGGACTATATGGTGTCGGCACTGCGAACGCCAAACACTGGTTCTGCACTATCTGCGCACTTGCTATCGTCAATTTGGAATCTTAAGTCAAACGGCGTCAAACACACATATTTGGCAGCCACTCATTGACTCGACTACAGGGTCGTTCGCCAGCGAGACCTTCCAGAATCGTACATCACACAAGTGATGTAAGGAGCCGACTGTGGAATAGATTTCTAGTTCGTCCGAACGAAATCTAAAATACAGCATCAGTGGGGTCACCAAAATTGATGTAAACCGTCGCATAGATTCAGCACCACCTGACCTCCGCACTCAATCCATCTCACAGATGGAAGGGGTGAATTGTTTTGCCTAGACCTATACGCCTGACCTGATTAGGTTTCCAAACGTTGCTGTAAATGAATTTCTTGCTTTTGTGGGCGTCCCGTCATAGTCAGTGTACTTGATACGCAGCGAGAAGCTCCTGCTTTGGTACCTTTGAAGCCTTGCGTTTTTCACTTTCATAGGAGAAAGTTTCACCGGAGAAAACCTTCAAGACGCTTACCCTTATTCGGCAATTTGAACAAAGGGCTGACGAGCTTGACACTAAACACGATGTTCGTTCCCAATTAGAACAGCTTCAACAAGGAAGAGTATTCATCGAACGCCTAACGTTATTTCCACGTTTCTTTTTGTCAGTCGATGTTCTATGGTCAGAATAGGAAAGTCACTTTTTGAAGGAGGATTCAGAGTGCATTTGCAACGGATAGATTTGCATCTGCAGAAAAAAATGTCAACCAGGCCAGTCTGAAAACGCTACGGGGCAAAATGCGGTCGCGTTCCAGTCAACAAATTACTACTCTGCAGCACTGAACTTCACATCGCTAAGCATGAACAGCTCTCATATTCAGACGGGATAATTCAGGTGCGATCAACGCAGCAACACGTTCGCTTACACGTAAGATGTTCAGAGTTCGAATCCACACACCTGCTGACGCCGTTCACTGGAGACTAAACTCGAGTCCGGTGCTTCGCCAGAATTATTGTATAAGAGTAGGAGGGGAGACCGTTGATGGAATATAAATCTTGTTCCAAAGAAGTGACCATCATTCATACTTCAACTAAAGACGAGAATCTTAAACTGTACCCACATTCTATTATTTACCACTTCGTACCCATTCAGGCGACGCCTGCTCCAGTGTGCGCTTCGTGCACCTGACGCGTCTGGTTAGAACTGCACGCTTCTCACACTGTCCATGTAAGTACTAACCCAATGTGAGTCCGGTTGAAGTCACGTTTTTGTTCTCTCTGCTCTGGAGCGTCAGTCTAAAGCTGATACAGGAGCGACGCAACTACGGCAAGCACACTTACGACCACAATACCTATCAACCTCAAGTTGTATCAGTTTGAATCAGTGCTGTACAGTCACTGCCAGTGAACTCACTTCAGCATCTGTTGCAAAAACTCATCCAGTTCCGGCTGACTGACCTCGGATTTGCACAATTCCAAGTCGGTTTTTGGGTAGTAGAAGATATAGTTGAGGCACATTTCATCCTTGTGACTGATACCTCCGAATGTGACCACCGAAAGCCGGGTAGTATCATACGTACATTTTGTGACAAGACTATCACCCTGTACAACAGCGGCAACAAATGTGAAATTATTACACCAATCGAGAAGAAATTTTTTGCAGAATACACCCATCATCGTGTAAGCCAAGATCCCAAATATGCCTCCTGAGATCGAGCCATAAAAGCGGAACTTTTGAGAGGAAAAAATGGTGTAAATGATAACCATGCACTGCCACAAACATATAGTTGTTTTTTTTTCTAAGTGTTTGAGTATCGTACGCGTTCAAATTGTGAAGGTTCACTCAACACCAAGTGGGTTTAACGTCCAAAAAATACTGTTGCACATATCCTGTTTACGATGATAGGGACACATACCGGTTACTTGCGAGTTAATATGACTTCAACTGAATCCCAGATGAAGCCCTCGTTCGTGATATTTCTCTTCAGCTATATGTGTTGCACAATGGCCGTCTCATGTTTCACTTGGTATGATATTCGAGATATCGCAGTGTATTTTCTTGATGGAATACTACTCAAAAGATTGCTCAGAACTTTTTGGTAGCCCGCGTCCAAGTCAAAGTAATTTGTAAATGAGTGTATTCGCCAATATCACACAATTTGGGTTCGGGTACGACATAAAGTTGACGAAAGCTCAGGAACTGTGCCTAGCTGATAAGCCCAAAGTGGAAGGGCAAACCGGGTATGGGCTGTCGAAGTGTCTTCAGAATCCTTGTGAGTAGTTGGTTCCCTCGAGAAAAGGTGTCAGTTCTCTTCCAAAAACAACCAATGAGGAAGTCATGCCATATCCAGCGACTGGATCAAATCCATACACCATATCAGAATTTCTTTATCCGTATTTTTTGTCTGCTTGAAGGAGTGCCTGCACATCTGATATTCCCACACCAAACAAAGTACTGTACCGTTAATGAGGCCGTTTGAAAAAGGTGCCGGAACGACTGTCTCGGGTGGGTGGAGGCAGGAACGCCAACACAACTAAACAACACACCTAAGGTGTGTGTTTCAATAGCCACTTGCATTCTCGGCTGCAAGAATATTGATTTGGTCCATGGTTGTTTGATTTCAGGTGCTTTGCGAGAATACCTAAGTTATCCGGTAACAGTTCCCTTGTGTCTTTCGATATAGCCTTTAGCTTTGTAATAGGAGCAGGTCACGAGCACCACACAGTCACTGATTTCATAACTGACCTTCATATCCTTGAATGCTGCCGTTCGACCAAGTTACTATGGTACCACAACACAAAACATGATGAATTTGTTAGAAGGATCTTGTTGTCCTCTACTACTGGAGCAGGTTTTAGTCCAGTAGTACAAGTATGGTTTACTCATTTTAAATCTGAAAATGTGGGCCTCGGGGACTTTGAACGTTTCGCAAACACTTTGCTTTTTGTGAAGAGCCTCGTGAAGCATCGCAGGCTTCTTTACACGACAAACAAGAGCACGAATAGTTTCATACGTTTCATACTCTCACCCTGAGTATTGGTGAAAGTTGCTCGTTACCCTCAACCCCATATCTTCGGCTAAACGTATCTCCTCAATCTTTCCTAGAAAATTGCATCTGGGTTCTCCCTGGGTGGCCACAAATTATTTTATCACGGAGGAGAAATGTACTAAAGGCAGTGACCGATCCGCAAGGAGCAACAAAAGACCTCCTCATGAATGCATCTTTCCTTAAGCAAGGACACACGAGTAACCCTGCAAATCAGCAATAGATGTACCATTGTATAGTAAGGTCATCTCAAAAGTGATACTGACATGACAAAGTGGTCAAATTGGTCACCCTTTTTAAGCTGACAGTATCACATGAATTGTAAGTTTAGGCCATGTTTGAGCTGATGGATAAGATCAAACACAACAAATGCATGTTGCAAAAAACAGCGGTGCTTCTCGATGATAACATCTGAATGATCTCTGAAAGTCATTCCTTCAGAAAGGTGAGTTCTACATAAGGTACTATAACCCGGCTTCTGACCTAAATTTACCTGAATGGTGGACCATTTACGAAGATATTATGAATTCTGAGATGACAGAGTTGGTTGGTGACCTGAGGATCAGCTAGTCCGGGCTATGTGCAATGGGCTTTTTGCTGAGTTGGCCGCGTCGAGATGACGTTGGAAGTGGATATACATGAAACCCAGTCAGAATAACCTCAAGGGAAAGACGGCGTGATTAAACACCCAATCGGATCATCTTACCGCACACCAAAACTTATTCAAACTCACGGAAGACCGCCTACAACCCAAGTACTATGTTTAAAAAAGTTGTTCAGCTGTAGCACCCTTTCGGTGCCTAACTACGTGCCACCAGAAGGTGGTACGAGGGCTGGGGTACTGCCAGGTTGCCCGAGCCTAGGCAGAGGTCAGGTTCGAACCACGCTCTTC